ATCACATCGAGCTTTTCTAACGAAGGCAATAAAATTCCCTTTTCTTTTCCTTTTTTAATGCAAATGCATATTATCAGAAGAGGACTGTAAGATCACATTAGAAGCACCAAGATCCAACTGTGTGACCTAACGCTGGTGACAATTAGGGCACAAGCACAGTTTGCCATCAAAGTCCCACAGTACTGCTCCACTCCAAGTGCAACGTTTCCACGTGGCAGAAAGAAACACATGAAACCTCTGGGATAATGACCCAAAGCAGCCAGCAAGGCTGGCGGAAGAAACACAGGTTTTAAAACTTTATTTGCTTTCATATTTTTAATTTTTATATATATATATTTTTAATAATATTTGCTTTAATACAGAACATAGAAATAAGGAAGCTGTGTTAGAAAAGCCAAATCTCTCCGAGCCCACAGACCCTTTACAGACGATGCAACGGGCTGAAGGGGGAGGTATCCACACATTTCTGCTGGGTATTCAGTAGAAAAATGATTAAGAACACAGATGTCAAGTTTTGACTGTTTTATTTCAGAAATACACATTTGTTTGTAATATGCAAAAAGGAAAAAGGATGAGCTGCAAGCTGACCCAGCAAGGAGTGAGCCTGGTCTTATAGTCACAAGGAGAAGGGAAGCAAGAAAGAGGTTTAATTCCTGCAAGGAGAAGCCAGTTCCTCATGTCTATCAGGCAGAAAAGTGTCAGTGTTGGGATCATGATTGGACTCGATGATCTGAAAGGTCTTTTCCAATCAAGGCCATTCTGTGAATGCAAACACCAGCAGGCTTTAGCTGTGAGCCCACTTTGCGCTGCTGGAGAAGCCCAAGAGAGGTTTTTATCAGGACAGCTCTGTCCCGATACCTGACCACTACCCTCTAACCTGGGTGCTTCTGCCCATTTTCCTCCAGGGACACCAAACTGCCCGTTTCCCATCCTTTGAGTCTTTCACGTTTCTCAGGGTGAGCTTAGTGGCTGGAAAAACACAACAGGTAACAAGACAGTTCAGAAGGGGGCCTACAAGAAAGCTGGGGAAGGACTTTCCATAAGGGCAGTTAGTGACAGAACAAGGGGAAATGGGTTTAAGCTGAAAGAGGGGAGGTTTAGATTAGATATTAGGAAGAAGTTCTTCACTGTGAGGGTGGTCAGACACTGGAACAGGTTGGCCAGAGAAGCTGTGGCTGCTCCTCCCTGGAAGTGTTGAAGGCCAGGCTGGATGAGGCTTTGAGCAACCTGGTCTAGTGGAAGGTGTCCCTGCTGCTGGCAGGGGGGTTGGGACTGGATGAGCTTTAAGGTCCTTTCCCACCCAAACCATTCTATGATTCTATGAGTCTATGAAGGAGGAGAAGTAAACCCAGACTGACCACCCAGGCTTACAGCACAGTCCATCCAGACCGACGTCCTGCCTCTGGCAGGGGCCAGAAACAGGTTGCTCGGGGAACAGCTTGTGCTGGAGCAGCCAGGGTACAAACCCACACGCTGCGAGGGCAAGTGCTTGTCAGATGGAAATCTACAGAAAATTATATCCTGCAACTCAGGCAACACGGGACTAACCTTCACCATGGCAAAACCACTGAAAAATAGAAAAGCAAGCAATGATTGTGGAAGCTGGTGGGGCTTTGTAGTTTGTTATCCACACAGGCTGAAGCTGAACTGCTAATTCTCGTGCAGCTTCTGTTTTCTGTTAAGCATCTGCCTTCAATTCTTTCTCAAAAGTCTGGCTTTTTATTAGTCTGGTAATCTGGAAAAAACCTCTAGCAAAAAAACAGAGCAGAGGGGCAGAACTGATAGCTGGAGCCATGTTATTTAAAACATTAACAGACGAGTTCTAATGAATCTTGGCTGTCAGCGTCACCCTCGGCGTCGTACTCGCTTGACTTTCAGAGCTTTCCTGCTGTTGCTATTTCTGTATCTCTTCCACCAGATACCACCATACTGGCTCTCGCCAGTCTACAGCCACACAACCCGTGCAATTAGTGACAAACCTTGTCCCATTTTCAGCCGCAGCAGCTTTGAAAGTCCGCTGTCTTCTCCTTGCTTACAATCTTAGGTGACCAAGTTTCTCTGGCAAGCAGGCCCAGGATTGACACAAACCAGGGATTTTAGGGTGTGGTGTGCAGTCTGGAGAATACAACTCATGATGACCAATGCACAGTATCAACCAGAAATCCCCCTCTCAGTAGAAGAGTTTTGTAAATGCCTTCTTGACACCATTTCTGGTTATTAAAATACTACTGCTTTGATTAAACCCTTGCTCTGGCCAGAAGCTCCCATGAAGAGTTGAATCTTATTTTTATGATAACAGTTATTTCAGCAGAACAGCACCACACCACCTGGAAGGTGGCTGATCCCACTGCATCTGTACTGAACCAGGGAACTAGATCTCGTTCTCATGTTTCTGGTTACTTGGGTGACCTGAGAAAGGTCACTTAACCCTTTGAGTTCCAACCCTCCGACTGCTCAATGGAGATAAAAGCATTTACCTGACAAAAGTGGGTTATAAAGAGATTATTCAGTAAATTTCAGGCTGTCCAACAGGAACACAACTTCTTCTGTTTAGTTCTCCTAGGACCTCAAGTGACAAGTCTCAGATTTTCTTTTGCATGTTCTGGGCTGAAAGATGTGTTTGTTGCATCTTTATTGTTAGAAAGGAACAGACCTGCAAGAGCTCAGATGACTTCGATAAGGTGTAAGAGCAGGCTGGGCACAGCAGGAGCCCTGGAGAAGAGCAACTCAGCTGCATCACTGAGCTCTTTGGTAGCTCCCAGGCTCCTCCCCAACCCATTTGAACAGGGATTCCCTTCTGCTCTGCAGTCCTTCAGTATCTAAAAAAAAAATAATCTGGCTCCCACATCTCCATACAGCACATTTTTCAGCTCACAGAGGAAAAACCAAACAGGAACAGAGCTCTGCCTGCCTCCAAACACACGCCCGCATGCAGACCCAAGGCAGAGCAAGCTGCCACCTCATTCCTGTAAGAACTTTTACATTCAGCTTCAGTACAAAACTCTACATTTTTGCCTCTGAACACAACTGCTCTTCAAACTTCCATCAGCCTTACAAGCAGCAAGAGGCATTTATGTTCATACAACCCTGGTGGCACATTATACTCCTTTCTGAACATACACTGGAAGGTGGTGTTTAGTTTTTCCTAAAAAAAATAAAAGTCAACTAACATCTGCTCCTAGACAGAGATATTTTTTTTAGGAAAAACTAAAGTCAACTAACATCTGCTCCTAGACAGAGATGATTTTTTCATGCATCAGTGAGGTTATTCCACAGGTAAATTAGAGTCTACAGCTCGAGATGTCTCACTCAAATATCAGTCATTAAAGCAAATGCCTTCAGGATTTCATGCACAGACTCAAAATACATCTATAAAATACATCTATAAAATACACCTATAAAGCTCTCCTGTGCACCAGGAGAATTCAGAGATGCTGAGATTGAACAACTATTTATTCCCCTCTAAAGCTCTCCCGTGCACCAGGAGAATTCAGAGATGCTGAGATTGAACAACTATTTATTCCTTTATTAACCTGATCTTTTTGATCCAAATAAACTGAAGTCAAACTTTGTATTTAATGCACTAAAATACAGAATCGACTCAAGGCCACACTGTGTATTTTAAATACGTTAAAGGTATTTGACCCAGGAAAAAGCAAGCATTCAAAACCAGAAAGCTTCCTTGTTCTTCAGCTCTTTCAGTGTGTCCCAACAGCAAGTCACTGAAACAAAAGGCAACTAGCACTTCCCCAAAATGTTTTACTTCCAAGAGAATGCCTACTTGCTAGAGAAAAAACAAGAATACAACAATAATGTTACAAGAGGCACTGATCCTGGCTTTATTCACTAAAAGATACATCCAACATTTGTTATAGCTCACTTGAAATTCAAAATTATTTAAGAAACCAACCATAAAACCTTGATTTTTGCCTTACAGTGCTGTCAAGTTTTCAAATAGCAAGTAAGTGACTTCCCAGCAAGACTGTGTTCTGTATTAACATACATACAAAGATTAAAACTTGGCAGAAACCCTTCTGTTTCTGGTATTTAATGAATTGCATTCAGAATGAAAACCATTTTTGCTGTGGTGGAGGCTACTCTGCTTACCTGCAGGGATGGGTGTCCAGGGTCCTGAGCTACTAACACTTTATCCTCACCCTGTGCCGTTTTGGTGATTCAATGAAAACTGTCCTTCCCCCTTTTTGGTACTCAAGAGGGACTTCACTCCCTGTTTGCATCTTTGTGCTTGGCAGCTGTAACAAAATTTCTACAACACTAGAAAAACTAGTTAGGACAGCACTATGCATGTCCCCGAGAGATTATTGACACTGACTGCTAGTGGAGAGAAGTGCACGTTATGGTCAAGAAGCATAATGTGTTAATTTGGAATTCAAATTATTTGGCAGTATCTTCTGTAAATTCAGAATTCATGTAAGACACTGTGTTGCAGCCATCATATAACGACGTTACCTATATTGGGTTGGGGTTGTTTTTTTTGCTGCATTTAGTTAGATCCTTTTTAAAGTGATGAAGAGTGCAAGACTTAAGAAATATAAAATTTCTCTATTAGAAATTGCAAAATTTAGGACTATGACACTATGAAAGCTTACAGTACAGTTTATCAATTATAGGTTAAGATTCAGCATCAATACGGTGTCTGAACTATCTCAGAGCTACATTCTGCCTAATTAAGCAGCATCAACATGGCCCGATGTCACTTTCTGTGCAAAATGCGTTCCCATATTAATGTGGCTATAAAATCATGAGCAGTTCTCACGTTGGTATATTGTCCCTGTGACTTTTTGTGACTGGTTTCTCTGTTTAATGATAGCCTAACTAAAAAAAATAAGCTTGTTATGTAAAAGCAAATGAACTCTTATCTTCAACTTTATTCTGGGTCTTGGACATAGTTCAGTGACATGATCTGCAGAACAACACACCAACCATTCCCATGAGCTGTTTAAAGAAGAAACTGAAGGAAAAATCCAAATCAAAGACACTCACTGTTATAGTATCTTTAATTTATCTTGGGTTTTACAGAAGTCTGAATGAATTAAAAAGCACCTCCTTTCCTATCACGTTCCTTAAAGTTGGTAAAATATATTCAATGAGCAAACGTATGTGAACAGCTTGAGGATCTGCATCTTGCAAGGATTTCACAGACCAATCAATCAAAAGCCAAATTTCTGGTAGTTTTTTACAATCTTGTTTTAATACAATGGTAAATCCACTCCGATTGTAAACCTGTCCAGTCATATCTCCCCAGAACACTTTGCAAAATCCAGTGTTGATTAGCAAACTAGTTAGCTTTGGCACGGAGCTGTGCTCTCTTGCCTGTGACAGCCTGGAAACCAGTTTTGATGCTGGCGACGGAGCAGCGAGAGTGGCAGGTCTCACACTGCAAGAAATATAATCTGGTGTCCTTCTGTAGGATTGTGTCTGGTGACCGACACGTATGACAGGTGACATACTCCTCTGCAGGAAAGGAATTAAGTTGGAGTTAAAAGATAATGCATTATCAGCAGACAAGTCACCACTTCTTCAGCCTTTAGTTTAACAGTTGTCTTGAAAGGCTGTTCAAATGCATTTACTAACTCAGAAGTGGCTCACTATGAAACCACAGAGGCTGAGGCAACCTAAAAATTCTCCCTAGTTCCCAGGTTAATAAAGACTAGGTTTCATATGACACATTATGCACTGACACTGGCTTTTTAAAAATAACAACCAGTTCAGACTTCCCACTGGTGTTCCATAACTTCCTCTGCTGAAACAGCATTCCCAGATGTCAGCAGCTCTCATACAGTCACAGCACTAAAGCAGTCCTTTTTGCTACACAGAATCCACAGTCCTTTAACCAGCGCCGACATGGACGCTGGATTTGTTAATTAATGTGTACAACTTCAAAATTAACAATTACTGTTATTTTCCAAAGTCCTCATCAAAGCCTAGAAATGAAAGTCAGATGAAAACAAGCAACTGTGGATGTCCTCTCCCTGGAAGTGTTGAAGGCCAGGTTGGATGAGGCTTTGAGAAACCTGGTCTAGTGGAAGGTGTCCCTGCTGATGGCAGGGGGGTTGGACCTGGATGAGCTTTAAGGTCCCTTCCATCCCAAACCATTCTATGAATTGTCAAATGCTCTTACTGTTTTCCTGGGTATGTTTTAGTGCCAGGTCAGAGTATGATCTATGTGCTTATTATAACCAGGGTAGAACCACCTGTACTTGCACTATTCTATCATAAAGCTGCAGCAAAGTTGTTGCTCCTCAGCACAGAATCTCCACAGCATGTGCACACGTGGGTCATACACAGGCCATTGGTCACCAAAAGGGATCTGAGAGAAATCTGAAGTCCAAAAGGGATTTATACTTACTAATATATCTTCTCAAGACATTTTCTATCTGTTTTTGCTGGAATCTTCCTTTGATTACAAGTTGGTTGTTACCATCTATTGAGCCACTAAATTAAAAGAAAAATTAATTATTTAATCTGCAGAGGACATCAAGTATTAAAAGAAGTCAGGAACATGAAGCAAGATGAATGACGCATTCTTCAAGAAAAGAATAAGCCAGAATTACTTTGTGGAAAAAAATGCAAAACACTTAAAAACCTACAGGAAGTTTAGCCAAAACATAACCCTCATTTCAAACTCCAGCAGGGATCAGCCTCGTTGCTAAGCTACTCAATCAGAACTTTATAGAATTGAGAATTAGCACCTGCTTGTCTCACAAAAGTGACCAAAACAACTCCCAAATAAAACCCTCTTCTAGCCATTCTGGTGTAGCAAGTTGAATGTTTTTTCACATTATGGTTTCTAAGTTTTTGTTTAAGTAACCTGGACCTGAAGAGACTTCAAAGCCCAATCAAATTGGTGTTTGTTATATACATGCTGTAATTAAGACTCCTTGATTCTCTCTGTCTACATATAACAGTGTAGTCTACCACAGAGAAATTAATAGAAAGTTCACCAACACAGCACAAGATCTTTGATAAGAGGCACAGAAAATCAACACTTGTTATGCTAAGACAGGTGGATTTAACTGCAGCATGAGACAGAGTATCTACCTCCAGGCACACAAGACTTGCCATGAGGCAGTCAGGCATTCTCTCTAACCTCACTACCCATCATGTACCTGCCTCAGGTTGGTAAGAGCCACAGAGTCACCCTCACCAACTGACAAACTGCTCTGCTACCAGGGCATCTTTGAGAAAGGTCCTCAGCAGGGAATTCAAACCCTTATCTGAACTGATCCTTGAGACTTAACACTTTGTCTCTGTACTTCTTGCCTAACACAGCACCTCTTCAATCAGCCAGCACAGTGTCTCTGTGCAGGGAAGAAAGGCCTGATGTTCAAGCACACACGTACAGACCTAAACCCAAGAATTTTATTTTTGATTAGACAATGTAAACTGTGTTGCCATTGCTTCCTACCTGCATAAGCACATACATAGCCCAGTAGCCTTACCTTGTACCCAATTCTGCCAACAAAAATGCCAGGAGATGTTTTGGCTGACGATGTAATCTAAAAATAAAGTAAGGATATGTTTTTAACATTCCCCCTTCAGAGAAATTTGATATTTATACAGGACTGGCAGGTTAAAACGATCTTAAATTACCAAGTTTAAAAGGGGACAGTGCCAGAGGGTCTGCAGCAAAGAATATAGGCAGATAACAACTGAGGACACAAGAAAGATGAAAAGGCCGCAAAAAAACCCCATCATCCTTCCCAAACCAAACTCACAATTACAGTAACTACTGAAAAAAAATCTTCTATTTGAGACTTTCCATTCTTATTCTCCTGTCCCCCCCCTGGCTACTATTAAAAATTCCCTTTTGTGAACTACCCAGATCCCCAGTATGATTTAATCAGGACCATTTTCTGTCACACTTAAGAAAAATCAGATATAGATTCCCAGAAATGCCCACAAAGAACAGAGCTGCCTTACCAAGAAATAATTAAGACATGGAAAGCAGTACAGAAAAGAGTATAAAAAAAATACTGAATTCCATACTATTTACCAAGAACACAGTATTTGTAGTCAGCTCAAACTAGAAAGAATCTTTCCTACTCCACCCATCCCAAGACCTGCAGGTAACTACCACTGGTGACCCAACTACAGACCTGATAGAAGCCAGTGAACTACCAAAAGCAATAGGTTTCATTTCAGTTCATGAGGCCCACGTAGCAAGGCTTCCATTTTCATAATTTAAGTATAAAATAAGAAATTATCTCAATAAACAGTCTTATAAATATCTTATCACAGAGAAACATAGAGGAAATGAGCAGTATGATCAAAACAGCCTTCAGTTTACTCCTGGTTTGCTGTAATCTTTTGCCAGAAAACATGCATTCAACACAACAGCAGAGAAAAGTGCAGCTATCTGCTATTCCTGGGAAATCTAAAGAGGAAACTTACAATTTGCAGATATCTGTAAAGTTGACAAAAGATGTTTTCTTGGTCCCTACTCTTACAACCTGCGGAGGCTTCATGACAAATTTTCGTTTTTCTCCAGCGACCATATCTGGGTTTTTTTCCCGCATGATGTTAAATACCCTGTTGAGCAACTGCAAAAAAAGGGATCCACGTCAACATGGACAGTTTGCATTTCTCAAATGAAGTACCTCACTTCTAAAAAAACCTTGAAACAGCATTCACAATATTAAGATTGTCTTTGCCCATTAGCATTTCCACATATGCTTTTGAACACACACTTAAAAAAATGTTCTGATAAATGCAAAATATAAAAGCTGTCTCCCCAAGGGCTTACTTTATAATCTACCAGTACTTCAGCCTATTTACATGGGTGTTTTAACTATCACTAATATTGCCCTAAATGAAAATTAACTGTGATAGAAGCTATGTTTTGTTATTTTTCTGTTCATGAGCTTCTGACTACAAGTCCTTTAATTTTAAGTTAGAAACAGGACAGATGAGCACAAGTTCCTGCTGTGGGGCTGATGCACATAAATATGAAAAGTATTTTTAAAAAGTCTTTGGAACATTACCTCATCATACGTGTAGTCCCTTTCTGAGCCTGCCCACGCAGGACCTGACTGAAGGCTAAAAGAAATGCCATCATCTTTTTTGCTATCTTCATCCTCAAAAGCTGTAAAGAAAGTTGTTTGGGATTCATTAAGAAGAAGCAATCTTTAACCTCATGCTTACATCATTTCTAAAAGGTACATCAAAGAAGATTCCAATAAGATGTGGACACAAGTCTTCTCTGTCTGCCTACAAGGGACACCATTACTTAGGGCAAATTTATACAGTGCTTTTATAGAACATTTTTCTGATAAATAATATAGTGGTAAAGGTACCACAGTGAATTTTGAAACAAAAGGGGTACTTGAACAGAACTTATTCACCTACCAACATGGACTACATTTCACCTTCAACATCTCCCTGAGCTAGGTTATCCTCTTACCTTCATCCTTCTCCATTATCTCATCTTCATCTGGAAACTTCACATTCTTCTTTTTCTTCTTTTTATTGCCCAGCATGATATCAAGGTCATCTTCAGGTTCTACTGCCTCTGGCACATCTCCTTCTATTTTCAACTCCTGCAAAAAAGTAATAAGACTTTATAGTATTAAAGACAAATCTCCATTGCACAGCATTAGAAATAATTCTAGGAGCACACTATACTAGATGAATACTGGTAATATCCATCACAGTCCTGGAACATAACAGATAAGAACAAAAGTAGGTTGAAGAGAGTGCTGCACTACTACCATGAAGTAAAGCTAGATTTTTATCTTCCAGTCTAAATTCGAGCTGGTCAAGAACAAGGTCATACTGTACTTACTTAAAGGCATCAGCCATTTTAGGGCATAAGGGAACAAAAAACCCTCCATGCCAGACAATAAAGCAAAGCTGTGCTACCTTCAGCCAGTCCCATTTGTTATCGCAGCTCTGCACATGTACAGAACACAAAGCAAGCATTTCTGTGTGGGGCAGATCAGAGGGACAGTTCCTTCCCCAAAAGGCAGAACCTAAAGAAGAGGTTTATACACAACATTAACATTTCTCTGCCCTCTTGCTCCCTGGGCTTGCCAGTTACGCTGACATGTGACACATGACTTGGATAAAACTTGAGAAGAGTGAAAAATATCTCATCCACCTTCTGGAACACAGAGCAGTAGCCAATAATTTCTAAAGAAAACACCAGAGTAAAACCAAGATTTCTTAGTGGACATATACCCTTAATTTGAAGGGCTGGCCTTTAGAGGACTACTCTGTGCATGGCTTCTGACATCCATTTACTACTCCAATTAACCTTACTACAGATAGCAGAATTACATGCTCATTCTGCAGATCAGACAGATTTTTTTCACCTCTGCACAAAAAGCCCCACAGAATCAACATGTTCAGCAGAACCTACTATATATGAAAGACACGGTGAAACATTAAGTTGCATTATGAATTGAACTAAGACACAAGGACAGACTCAAAACTTTAATTCCTGCACTGCCAATCCCAAGAAAATGAAAGCAAGAAAGTTTTCAGCCATAGACAGGATGGCCTGGTTATGTCAACAAACCTTTACACCTTCTTCTGCTTCATCTATATCAAATATCTTTTTTGTTTTTTTCTTCTTTTTCTTTTGATTGAAAAAGTTTAAATCATCCAGGTCATCTGTTGCATCTAAAAAAAAAAAATTAAAAATAAAAAAATAAAGGATTGCCAAAAGATGTATAACTGTAGAAACAGTTTAGAACATTAAGGTTTTTAATTTACATCCAAATCTTCAAAACATTACAGTAAGACACAAGCAATGATCTGTAGTCCCTTCACGTTTTAAAGAGGTCATTCTCCTCTCCTCCAAATACCTCTGGACTATTTTACAGTTTCTACATCTGCTAACTGCATTTTCTTTTTTCTTTTTTCTTTTTTTTTTAAGTGCTTAATGTTTCTTTCTGCTGTACAAGAGAAACTGGTCACTTCTGTCATTACAGCAGAGATGCTTGAAAAAAGTGAAAAGAAAACCGTAGGAGGAAGGTGCAGGTTCTTTGGTTTACTGCAGGAGCCAATTTTATCAACAAAATGGATTTAAGTTAACAGCATTCCCTGAATCAGGTCATCTTGAAATGACATTGGCCTCAATTCAAAAAGCAACATTATATACACAATCACAAGCTTATTTCCTGAAAGATTCCCAAGAACACTCTATTTATCCCATTCACAGCTGTCCAAAAACTAGAACCCTTTTAACCATATTTCTGTTACTCACACTATTGCTTAATTGTTCAAATGAAAACCAGCCAGAATTGCGGAATTATTGCAACAACTCCATGTGGAAGATTTAAAAAACTTCATGCTAGCTATTTTAGGGATTCTCTGTTCATTGTCTCACACAAAAGAGACTGTTTAAGTCAGGAAAGTGGAATTTACATAAGCAACTGGTAGCTTGCTGAATGTCTGTGAACATGATTTCAAGCGGGTGGGAAATACACCCTCCAAGCAGGCAGCAGAGAATTACTCACAAGCCTCTAAACAAACTCACATCATACACTGTGATGCCAAATTCTTGACATGGGGCTTGTAGTCTCAAAATACAGGACCACCTTTGAGGGTTTATCTGCATAGATTCACTTTACCTTTCTTCCTGCTGTCTTCTTCGTCTGCTTCAACATCTTTGTCTTCTGTTGGCTCTGGTTCTACTTCTTTTGTTTCCGATTGCTGAGTCTCTTCTGCTTGTGTATCCCCTCCTTCCTCATCCAACATAAAGGGCTTCTTCTTTTTCTTCTTCTTCTTGCTCATAGTGGGATCGAAAATCATCTGTAAAAGTCAAGAGTTCTTTAGCAGCATAATACTCACCTACCACTTAATATCTAGAACACCTTTAAGTTTCAACACTCCTTCAGTTACTCAGACTGTTCCTTGGCTTCAATCTCAACTAGGGATTTTTCTAAATGTGTAATACAAGTGAGCTGACTCTAAACAGTGAGCACACAGGCTTCCCTAAAAACACCACAGGTCTTGTCCCAGGGCATGACTGATGTGACCAATTACAAGAGAAGACTGCTTGACTGTTTAGAGCTTCTACAACTTTTCCTGTGATGGTTTCCTGTGATCTATGTATTAATTCAGCCGAAAATAGATTAAAGTTGTGAATTTTTCATGACAGATTGCTACATTTCATGACAGATTCTCCATTTTATTACCATTATGGACTCAAAAGTTAAAGTAAGACAATGAGAAGCAATCACTGAACTACCCTGCATGAGAAAAAAATTTAAGCACATCAATACCACAGAGCCTTTGTACTTCCGTTTGTGAGACACATTAATATCCAGATTTATTAAAAGGCAAGATTTATTAACAACTCTCTTGACAAAAATATTCTGGACTAGGGAGGAACCTAGAAGGGATTGGTGATAAAGCAAGACCTGTATCTGCTCTCAACACTATGCAGGAGCAAAGGTCTCATCCTTTTCCCCTACAGGTGGGAAACTGAACCTCAGAGACCAAGTGATTAAAAGCTTATGAGTCCTTTAGCCTTCAAAGAAGCTTAATTAGTCTGACTGTGAAGAAGACTCACTTTTAACCTATTCAGCATCTGCAGACCTGAGATATTTAACACAGGAGCTCTTCATTTTGCCAACACAGGAATACTTCTTACTTTTTTCACTTAAGATACAAGTATGACATCATCATAGCCAGGTTTGTTACATACATTTGGCCATAATTTCACACCACAGTATGTATTTAATACATCAAACAACTTCAGACACTTAATGAGACTCTTTCTGCAGTTTTTCTTATCTAGTAATTGAAGAGTGCTCTCACAGTTAGTTAATATTCAGCTGGGGAGGGGCTTTCCATAAGGGCAGTTAATGACAAAACAAGGGGAAATGGGTTTAAGTTGAAAGAGGGGAGGTTTAGATTAGATATTAGGAAGAAGTTCTTCACTGTGAGGGTGGTCAGACAGTGTCCCAGGTTGCCCAGAGAAGCTGTGGCTGCTCCTCCCTGGAAGTGTTCCAGGCCAGGATGGATGAGGCTTTGAGCAACCTGGTCTAGTGGAAGGTGTCCCTGCTGATGGCAGGGGGGTTGGGACTGGATGAGCTTTAAAGTCCCTTCCAACCCAAACCATTTTATGATCATTAACACCCTCACTTCATCAAAGGAGCAGTTCTCCAACTTTTTTTGTTACACCCTGCAAGTTTGGTGGTTTCCCTCCCCGCCACGAAGTAATCTTTTCCTTGCACTTCTCATTCTCCTACACATGATATTCTTGTGATATTCCTCCAATTTTCTGGAACTTACATATTTCATAAAGGCTCTACTGAAAGGCAGTAAACTGCACATATAGGTGTTTGAAGCGCAGCATCTCAGGAGTGCCCACATACATGGGACCCTGGAGTTTGAGGTTTTCAAACTGCTGAAGTGTGTCTTTAGTTGTACCCACTGTGCTAGAACAATCTTCAAAAAACTTCTGCCAGAGGGCTTCCCTCTAACGCTTAGTTAGAGACGCGCACGAATCATGCTCTCGTAACGCACAGTAATCAAAGAGCGTGCACAACCGGTTACGCTGTCTGCTGGCCTCCTCTGGAAACCTCCACAGTCTGATGAAACAGAAGGAAAGCTGCCTGCCTCGGCAAAAGTCCACAGCTTTGGCAACAAGCACGTGAACACCATTTTTAAGATCATGATTCATTTCAATGAAGAAGGTTTGCAAGACTCTGAACTCCTCATATGATTAAGCAAACATAAGATTATGTTTAGATTGGGTGTAAGAATTGCTAAGAATCAGCCCACCCGCCCCAAATCACACTTTTCTTTGTGAACAAAAAGACACCTTTCATCCTGAAACACCATAAAATAGATGTTGTGTCTCCAAGAGACAGAAGGCATCTCCAGTAGTACCACACTAACCTGAAGTTACCACACAAGGACAACTTCAGGACAGAGGAGATAATTTTAATGATGAAAAAACAATGTAGCTGGCCTTGAGCAGAGCACTGCTCAGAAGGTCCACTCCCCCCAGACAGGTCAAGCCAAGCTTCTGCAAACCTAAGACCTAGTCATAACATGCTAACTGCCCTCAGGAAACTAATACAAGAGTTCCACAACCTGAGGAGGAGGTCTATGCCCGAAATATTTTGCTCATCAAGGGCTTCACCAAAAACTAAGCAGGAGCTGTAGGTCACACATGCTTTAACAAGTGAGGATACAAACTAACCAGCCCGATAACCAGGCTAGTCTGTGTTTTGCCTTTCTGAGCTTGACATTTGGGAAGTTTCTTCATTCTTTTTCCTCTATTCAGTATGTTTGATGAGTCAAAGCATTATGATACCATTTAAGCACTGAAAAACTCTACAAAGTTGCAGGCCCTCTACTGAAGGGACTGTAGCCCCCAGCCCACCAAACCCCGTGCTTTTCCTGGGTCAAAATGGTTATAAAATTCCATCCTGTTTCTGCTCTTGGAGCCAAATTCCCATACGGCATTTCCTCTTCTGTAGATCACACAGTTCTTTCTCACATCCAGCTCCATTTATCTACTCCTTATTTCACAGAATCATAGAATGGTTTGGATTGGAAGGGACCTTAAAGATCATCTAGTTCCAACCCCCCTGCCATCAGCAGGGACACCTTCCACTAGACCAGGTTGCTCAGTCAAAATCCCAACTTACAGAAAATGATCAAGTGAAAGAACAGAGGGTGGGGGTGGGGGGAAGAATCAAAGCTTCTTGAGAGTGCAAATGCAACTCTCAAGACAAGCCAACATTACTCTGAACTGCTGCAACAGTGGCAAACGCCGGTGATCCTACCAAAGGTCACAAATAAATCCCGTTTCATTAGTCAGAATAAACACAGGCGCGTCTACAAAGCACATAGCAACTCTGCACTGATGGAGTTCGCTCAGATATTCTTACACTACACCGAGCTGATGTCTACGATGGAGTGCAAAATCATTAAGACCAATCTGCACCTAAACCCTCTGACTGCTCAAATCATAACATTCTCTAATACTTCCTGGAGTTTCAAAAAAGCCACAGGGCCGGAAGAATTTTTAGATAGCTAGTAGGATTATATACAGAGCAGGATTTTTAATAAAGCAACTAGATGTTCACAGACTGCTTCCCCTGCAAACAGGGCCTGTGTCGCCTCTGCTGTGCCACACTTCTGGGCAGCACTCACAGTAGATGTTTCTACCAAGGAGTTTCATCTTGCCTACAGATCTGAAAACTTTAAGTGACAGTTCAACGCAACAAAAGTGTTGTAACATCGTTTAAGGTGAAAATTTGTGTTCATGTGTCTTCACCCTCCTCAACTTTATGGGATCATTTGCTTTGAAAAATTTCACAAAGTTAACGTCAATAACAAATTATCTGGTTCCTAACAATATACAGAAGTTCTGGGAGGCACGTGTGGCTTGTTCACTCTCACACATACGCCAGCCAGAAAATCTAACAGTGACAGTTCAACTGTGGTAGCTGCTACCATTTCTGTTCTGTTAAGTCTGCTACATAAAGCAATCCAGAGATGTAACTTCACTATACTAGATATTCCTGATATCACCTCAATGCCAGAACAAACAAACATAAACTGAAAGTATCTGATGCAAGGATCCTTGGGTCCTAATTTCTGGAACCAGAGTTCAACCTAGACATGAGAACTACAGTTCCAGGGACATAATTTGGCATAAAAACGCAGTGCATCCATTTGAGATGTTAAAGTAGCTGAATAAGTCAGTTTCAGCTACCATTAAAACAATTCATAATTACACTAGTTCTCTTATATTATGTAGGATGAATTATGACTTGCCTGTCTCCAAAGCTAGAGTGATCACTTTGCTCAGAAGGAAACAAGCCACACAGGTATTTTAAACACCACCAGAAAGAAGATACAAGATCAAAAGCAGCCATCTCATGGATCCAGCCAGTGCAGTTTCCCCACAGGCTACAGTCATCCATCGGGGCGCTCAGAACCTCACACACGTACAGCTTTCCTTTTCTCCAGGAGAGCAACTGAAATGGGGTAGCCGAAGGTGCCAACACACAGCATCGGCAACACCTGGAAAACGCCTCAGAGACGGATGCATCCACTGCCCTGAGAGCGTGCCTGAGCCAACACCATCAGAGCCGGAAATAAAGAAGTTCGCGTTTGTTGAGATGCGGCTATTTAGCTCTTCGGGTTAAAAACACAAGATATTAAGCTCCAGAACGAGAGGGAAGTAACTAGACTGACTAAAGGCGACAGAATCATCGTTACAGGAGCACGAAACACGATGGAGAGGGGGCGGCGGGGAGATCCGCCTTCCTCCCCGGGCCTCGCTCTGCCAGAGGCGGGCGCAGGCAGAACGCGGGGAGCTGCGGGAGAGGTTCAGGCCCGGCCCTGGTTTTCGGGCCAGGCGGGATCGCGCAGAGCCCGTGCGGGCTCCGGGGAAGGCGGCAGCGCCCGGCCCGGCCTGCGCCCACCGCACCGAGGGGCGGCCGCGGCC